CCAGGAGCGGCCACTGCACTCCAGTCTGGGCGATAGCGTGAGATTCCAACTCAAAAAAAAAAAAAAACCCCTTGGTGACAGGGGACCCTGAGCCCCCAGGGAACACAGGCATGGGGGCAGGAGGAGCACTGGCCTTCCCTGGACTTAGTGGCTGATGCTGTGTGAAGGACTGAAACTCAGGGAGCCGGGCTCCCTCGACTATTCCCCACGCAGCTGGGCTCCCAGTAACCTCCCCTCTGCAGGTCCAGATGGAACCTCCACGGGTTCCACAGAGAGTTGGGCTTGAACTGTCAAGGGCAGGGCCAAAGTCACAGCCACACTCCTGTGGGCATGGCCAGGCCCCTGTTCGGCCAGTCCAGGTGGTCAGGGCGCTCACCTGCAGGGGCGGTGGGCTGTACAGTATACTGCCCGTGGGCGGAGGCTCATGCTGCGGGCACTCCCCATCCATGGCTGGCCTCACTGCCAGCATCGGGTGCGTCCTCGGCCAGCAGCAGGCAGGGGGCTTGGGCCAAGGCCACCGGGGGGTCTATCTGGGCTTCTCACTCCGAGGCGGTGGTGGCAGCGGCATCATGTCCTGCAAAGAGACGTGGACGTCCTCAGATGGGCCGACTAAGGTGCCCACCTACCTTGCCCAGCCTCCGGCAGCCCCCTGACCTTCTGTGCTGTGCCAGGGTCTCTTGACCACACCAACTATCACGGACCCAAGGCAGCCTCTGCCACAAGCCCAGGACCCCTAACCAGGGCCACGGAGCCGTGGGATGACTCCACCTGGCTTAGATCAGCCAGTCAGAGGCTGTGGAGGGAGAGGTACGCTGATCTCCAGGCCGGGGTGCCCACCTCAACCCTGGACCAGCCCTGTCCTTCAGTGGCAGCACAAGGCGGTGCCGGGTCTCGGGGATGCTGGGGTCATGCTGAGCAAGGAGAACCCAACCTGGTTTCAGGCTGAGGACACAGCAGTGTGCCCACTGATGGCCCGCACCCCAGGCTGAGCCCCGCTGTCAGGTACCGTCTACCTGCCTGTGTCCTGGCACATGGCCAGGAGTCCCTGCGGGCCCCATCCTGGGAGAGCAGGGCCCGGCCAGTCCATGTGCCCTGCGGGCTGGCAGCCAGGACACGCGAAGGAGGCAGGAAGAGGAGGCAGCCACCACTCCCGGCCAAGCCCTGGATGAAGAAACCCTCAGGACTTCCAGTAACTGCCAGGCAGCTGCACGCAGGCACTTGGGCAACCCTGCGGGGGAGGGGGCGCGGCTGGGGGAGCGGCCCGTGGGTCCAGGGACAAAGCCCCAGGTGGTTGTCGGAGCAGCGGGGGCTGGCTCCGTCCCGCCAGCCCCTCAGAGGCCAGCCAGGGGCCCACTACAGCCCCCTGCCTCTGGAGCCCTGCCAGTCCTCATGAGGAGTCATCCAGCAAGCCAAGATCAAAGCCACACGCCACCTTCCAAGATGAGCAACCTCAGACGACCTGGAGACACCCATGATACTCCGAGCCTCAGTTAGTTTGCCTGGGAAATGGGCCGTTTGGAGGGCGCTGGGCCCTCTGTGTGCCAGAGGCCACAAACAGCTTCTCGAAGGCTCCAGGAAGCTGCTGGTGGGGGGACCCCCGAGGGGCCTGCCCAGCACCCGGGGAGGGCCAGCCCTGTCAGTGGGCAGCGGACGCTGTCCCCGCCCCCTCGGCAGAAAACCACCTGCGCTGACCCTGCAGTGCCCTGCTGGCCCCCCCCCGCCTGCAGGGACCTCCTCCTGCCGCAGGTTCCGTCTGGGGCAGCTGCAGCCCTGGTCCCACGGACCCACCCCACACCCTGGCACATCCCGGCTCTGAGGCTGCTGGCTTCTGAGCTGACGGAAAGTCCCATCCAGAGCCCGAGGTGACAAGTCCGGGGACCCCAGGGGGCTCCTGGGTGACCCCGGGCTGTCTTTGGGGTATCCTGTGCCCAAGGGGCCCCCCAGCAGCAGGCGGGCCTTGAGCCCAGCCATGTCTGCGTCCCTTCCTGCTGTGGTCCCTGAGCCCTGGCCTCATGGACCCCGCTCCAGGGACCAGGGATCTGAGGGACAGGGGAAGGCTTCAGATGCAGAGACATGTGACGGGGTCTGGGGTCTGAGCCTTGCTCGGGAACCGGCAGGGCCTTCAAACCTGGACCTGGGAGGCCGGGGGAGCAGCACCCTCACGTGGCAAGGAGGGGGCGTGGCAGGCGCAGCTGCTAGAGGCAGTCCAGCCCGCAAAGATGAAGCTGGGAGTCATCACACGACCGGCAACTCCACATCCCACAGGTGCCCAGGAGAAACGAAAACTCATGCCACACAGAAACTTGTGCACACATGTCCAACAGCCAAAAGGAGGCACAGTCAGGGGGGCATCCATTATGGAGGAGGCCCAGGGAGAGGGATACCCGTCACGGAGGGCCAGTTACAAAGGAGAACATCACAGGCCGGTGTCCACAGTGGGTGATGGACAGACACGGTGTGGGTCATCCACACAGAGAGCAGGGCTCAGCCTCGGGCGGGCAGGCCAGACTCACACCTACAATCCTAGCCACCCCGAGGCCCAGCTGGGAGGACTGCTTGAGTCCAGGAGTTTGCGACCAGCTTAGGCAACAGCAAAACCTCCGAGCTAACATAAAATAAACAGGATAAAAAGGGAGGAGCCTCAAACACAGACCACGGCATGGAGGGACCTTGAGGACATCACGCTCAGGGAGACCTAGACACAAAGGGACACGCAGGGTGTGACTGTATTTACATGAAATGTTCAGAACAGGCCAGTCTACAGGGGCAAGACATGGATTCATGGATGCCAAGGGCTGGGGGCGTGGGCTGACTCAGCCTGCGGCCCGACCCCACATGCCCCAAGCTCAAGCCCTGTCCACCCCAGAACACCCCTCCCTCCTGGACCCCTCCTAACCTATGACCCCGACCCTTGCCTGGTGGGCTCAGTCCCGTCCAAGTGTCGCCACGAGCTCCGTTCTCGTCCCCAGGGTCCTGTGCCCTCGGGACCCCGCCCCAGCAGCAGTGACCATGCCATGTCCCAGGGCGTCCAGCTGCTGACCCAGGAAGATCCCAGTGGGGCAGCAAGTGGGGTCTTGGGTGGGAAGGGCCCTGGAGGCCCCGCTCACGGGCTGCGGTGACAAAGCCCCCGCCTGGGCCACAGAGCTCCAGCCACCAGGATGATGGGTGTCCCTGTGCTACGTCCCAGGCCTGTGTTTATTTTTAGTTGCGTCTCGTGACACCAGGGACAGTGGCGGGTCACACGGTTCCCATTCAGGGGAGGGGCCACCCTTATCGCCAGAGCTCACCGCAGGGAGGAGGAACGTGGTTTCCTTTGAAATCAAGTTTTGGAGTGAGTCACCGTCAAAGAGAAAGACACAGGGGTTGGTGGCCCCGGTGAGTCCCCACCTCTCTCCTGGCCAGACACTCTGGGTCAGGCCCTGGCCTCGCTGCTGAGACCCAGCTGAGCCTCCAAAACATTCTGAGCCAGCACCACCAGGACCCACCCGCCAGCACTGCAGGGACACTGTTGGCTGCCCTGACCCTGCCTGGAGTCCCAAGTGTGGTCACAGCAAGCCCCTCGCACCTCCCCTCAGACCCGAGTGGGGCCTGCTGGAGGCGGGGATGTGGCCTGCAAAGGCACAGTCCCCCACTGCCCCCTTGATTCGTGTGGCTGCAACTGCACCTTCTGATGAGGACAAAGAGGGCGCTTGCGGCACCTGACGCGACCCCAAAGCCACACAGAGCAGCTCAAGATCCCCCGTGCCCACTACAGAGGCTGCAGGTGAAAGCTCTGAGAAGATCCCGCCTGAGCGCCTAGAACGCGAGTCCAGCGAGGATCCCTTGGCACCCGACGTCCCGAGTACGTCCACCAGGTCCCAGGTTGTGGTGGGCCTGGCCTCAGTGCCAGCCTTGACCCCAGCATTTGGGAAGCGGAGGCCTGGCGAGGCGGCCACATGGCTGCGGGTGGGTGGTAGCAACCGTGGCGACGGACACAGGCAAGGCCGCAGCCGCCCCCACAGGCCTTCGAGGCCTGGTCGCCCCCTGGCCCAGTATTACCTTACCTGAGGTCCCGCCCATGGGGACCAGGGGCTCTCGGTATCCCAGGGTCTGCCGCCTTTCAGGAGCAGCATGAAAGCAGGGGGCTCTGCTGGGGCCGCAGTCGGGACCCGCTGGCCCTGCATGGAGCTCAGGCCGGGCGGTCACCTCCACCAGCGAGCACGGCAGGCCCCAGCGGGTGGGAGGGGCCGGCAGATTTCACAAGGCCCAGCCAATATAGGGCAGAGAGCCCCGTGAAGCCCGACGCCTGGCCGGGCCCCAGCTTGGCGGGCAGGACTGTCTGGTGGGGAGGGACGTGGCGGGCCCTCTTGGTCCTGGCCTCGAGATACAGCTGCATCCTACTCGGAGCCCAGGGCTGGGGGCTGGAAGGTCCTTCCAACTGGGGCTTCAGGCTCTGGCGGGAACGCAGCAGAGTGCCACCCAGAGGGCCCTCTGCTCCAGGTGCAGGTGCCTGTGGCAGCCTCAAGCCCCACGGGCGTCGGGGCACAGGGGCAGGGCAGGGGGGACACAGCAAGGAGGCTGGTGGCAGGGAGGCCGGGATGGGGAGGGGCGGCCAAGGGGGACTGACGCAGAAGGGGATAGGCAGAGGACACGGCGCCCAGGAGACACACACCCCCAGCGCCGCGCCCGCCCACACCGGCACCGTCCTGGGCGACCATCGGCCCCCAGGCACCCGCGCCTCCTCCCATCCTGCACGGCCACCCAGCCGGAGACCCACATGTGTCCAGCCTCGCCCGCCCCCGGGCTGCAGTGCCTACAGGCCGCTCAGGCCCAGCCCTGGTGAGTGGCGGTGGAGATGCCTGCAGGAAGGCTGGCGGCCCGGCCCAGCCCAGCCCACGTGGCCGCTCTCCTGCATCCCCACAGTCCTGCCCGGCCTGCAAGCTGCGCCCTGTCTATGCCCGCCCCAGCCCGGGCAGCCTCCGCCATCCACTGGTCACGCCCAACCCTACACGCCGAGACTCTGACCCCACCTGGGTCCGCTCGACAGCTGGCCACCTCGCTGGGACCCAGCCCTACGATGGTGCAGCCTGGTCACATGGCACCTGGAGGATGCCCCTGCAGAGCCATGGGGAGACCCCAAGCCTTCCGCACAGCGCGTGGCTGAAGCTTTTTTTATAACAACATGAGTTCTAACTCCTGCGTCAGCAAGCAGACCCTGGGGTCTCTGGCAGGGAACAGGGAAGGGTGGCAGGTCCCTACCAAGGCCACCTGTCCCCCACCAAACTAGGCTACCAGGCATGAGGCCGCCTTCCTGTGGTGACATACTTTGACCCTTAGGCCCCCGCAGGGGTCTCGACGCCGCCAACCCAGCCAGTCTCTAAGAACGGCCGCGCTGCCCGGTCCCCACTCCTCTACCCGAACGTCTGCACGTTCTCAAGGTGCCACCAAGGATGTCACAAGGTGCCACCAAGGATGTCAGAGCCTCGCTCAGGCACAGCCCGAAGCCCATTCGGCCTCCCTGCCCACCGCACAGGTCCCCCAGTTCTGCCTCTTCTCGAAAGAACCATCC